CCTCGTAAATATGCTCTAGTTGTATTTTAGTTTGGGGAATGAAGTATGTATATGATAGTTTCATAGTCTAGATATTTACACAAGTTGTAATGGTTCTTCATTTCAATAAATGATTGTGTTAAACTTCTTATCTTGTCTTTGATTGTATTTTCTCATAATTATACTACTTACATCTTCATAGTGAGAATGGAGATGAGATTATAAAATGGTTTTCTTTGCATATTTTGTAAAGGTTTTAATAGTCCATTCCTAGGAAAGATGAACTATACTACATCCCTAGTGTAATGTAGTTAGGTAGATGGTTCTTACCAACCGTAGATGGATTATGCTTAATCTTTGACTACATATGCATTTACCATGCAATGTAAGAGATTTGATAGGCCATTCCTAGGGAAGAAGGCTCATGCTACAACCTAGTTTAGGTAGATGAACCTTGCGAACCATAGATGGTTTATACTTAGCTCTTGGTTGTATGAACTTCTTGAAGATAATATAGTAATCATGTATTTCTACATATCATGGTCACATATATAGTTGTTCTCCAAGTTAATTGCAAGCAAGCATGTTTATATGGTTTGTGGTGGATTCATTTCCCTAGCTCTCTCTACATAAGTTTAATTCACCTTAAATTCATTCCATTACTGTTTTATGCAAATTTTAATTCCTAGTTCTAAGTGACAAACAAATCAAACCTTATACACCTTTTCATCAAAAACAAAGTGATTTGACAACTTTGGTTGCCATAAACCAGCAATCCCTGTGGTTCAACTTACCCTTACGATAGCCCTATTTTACAATGATTTATGCTATTGCAAGTGTCGATTATTATTGGTAAACGTATATCTACTCACCAAAATACTTGCATATAGAAGTTTGTTTCTATGTATTATTCTATAAATAATTGTAGAGGCATGCTGTGTTAGAGGTCCAGCACCCTCAAAATCTTTTATTTTTATTGTTACTTTCTCAAGCTCCTTCCCCATGTAGCATCCTTGCTATTTCTATCTCTCTTCCTCTTTATTTCAGTCTCGTTCTATCTCTCTCTCTATATATCTCTCTATCTCTTTTCCCTATCACTTTCTATATTTATCTTTTCTCTCCTTTCTATTCTCAAATTGTTACTATAATTATTCACTGTTAAAGTCCTTTTAATTAAGGCAATACTGAACTCACAGAAGAGTATACTTGTTCTCTTTCTCTTCACATCGCCTGAAAGTGAAAATTCTCAAAGAGACTAGCGTTGAAATTGAAATTGAGGATTATGTCACAATCCCTCAAGAGCATTGAAATTGAGTTAGAATTAAGAGTAGAGAATACTGTAAAAGTAAATATTTTTGGAAGTTAATTCATTGATAGAATTAGCAGAAAGTAAATGTACTAACCATGAGAACTGACTTGAGTATTGTCATGGTTAAGGGGATATTAAGGTTACCCTTTTCCTAAACATTTAAAAGTACATCTATCTGGTCTTTGCAATCAGCTGCACCATTTCTAGCTTTATGTTCATCAACAATGTTAGTAAATATCTCATCAATTTTTCGATGAATCTTCTTAGCTCTAGGCCTCAGCCCACTTATCAAAGCAAGTATTTTAACTGAAGGAAAGAGATCAGCAACATTGAAACCTCCTGCTACCTCCATAGTATCCTTGATAAGTGATAAGAATTCTTCTTTCCCATGGAATTTCTTACCAACGACCACCTTAGAAACAATGTTGTATGTCATAGAGAAAAGCTTTTCAGTGAGATTGATGAGAGATCCAGCTATATTTATGGGTCGAAATAGATTTGATCAAATTTGAGGCCTCTTCTTCTCTAATGGGTCGGACTGATTGGACACGCTTGGCACTTAAAAGCACCAGTATGCAAACTTTTCGAAGTTATCTCCAGTGATCCCCATAAGGCGTGAAGGCAATGTCATTCCCAGATATGATATTCATAGCAAAAATAAAAGGTCTGCTAGCAAAGATGATGTCATGTGTTTTCATCACCACTTTGGCAAATTCTGCTGAAGTAATCACAACAATAGGAAGTTGTCCGAGTCGTAGGTGCGTCAGAGGTCCATATTTCATGGCCAAATCTCTTAGGCAGTGATGGGGTAGAGATTCGACAAATTGATGAATGTTACCTATTGAGGTTGGGTTGGGACCAAGCTGGGTTGGACCTGCCCAACTTGCAGCCTTAACCTCAGTCACGGCAAGATCTTCTTGTTTCTCTCCCTCAGAAAGTTTCCAATCAAAGTGATACAATAAATTTGCAAGTGGAAGCTCAATATTAGCTTTCCCGAACGACATGCCCTAACATATTCTCCTTCCAGCACCAAATGGTGCATAATGAAAATGAATCCCATTGTAATAAATTGAACTGTTCTGGAACAAACCTTTCCGGATCAGTCCAATTTTCGGGGTCTATGCTAATTGTCCATACATTAACAAATACTTGGATTTTCGCTGGTATCTGATATCCATTAACAAATATGAGCTTGGTTCGGTTGACATATGGTCAAACTGAGTCTCTTTTGTAAAAATGATTAAATACACTATTGTAGAAAGAGAGAACATTAATTTTCTAAATGTGAGTTCTGAATTGCCTTGGATAAAAGGAGTTAAAATGGAGAGTAAATTGCAGTAATTAATAATGAAGCTAAAAGGAGTTAGAAAGCATTATAGCTACTGGGAACGAAATCAACGAGTATTGAAATAGCAAAATGAATTGGAAACTAATACTGCTACTCGAATTGAAGCACAAAAGGAAATAACTAACAGAAAAAGTTAAATTTAACTAGAATAATTAACTAGAGAGAAGTTGAATTAAAATAGGAAATTGAATCTAAATGAACAACATGATTTAGAAAGGAATTCTATTGATGCGATTGTTTCTGAGGGTGCTGAACCTTTTACAAAACAAAAAGACTGATACTACAACTATTTATAGAAACCAGCTTAAAGGGTCATAAAACAAACTACTTCCTAAATTTAAGCTATTGGAATACATTTAAATTTCCAAAATTACTCCAAGTGTAAGCTTTCTTCTCCACAAATTCAGTATAATTGGTTCCTTTGTTGATATTTTCCTTCTTTTATCTCTGACAACTTATGAACGATGGAGATAATTATATCTAAATCCTTGGTGAAGTTAATTATGTGCAAGATAATCTTGGTAATGAAGATAAAACCTTCATCTCCTTAACATCTATCATTCGACAACATTATCTTGTCTATGCATCTCCAACAAACCAAATACTTGTGTAGCTTGTTCTTCTCTCATATAGTGGCTGCTACATCCTCACCAAAATAGTCTTCACGTGATTTGCAAAAATGGTTGTCAACATATATTTTTGGCTTTCTCAATCACGAATTTAACCGTTGAAAACGAAATGATTCTGAGATCAAAGAACTTATTACAGTTTCTAATTCCTACCATTGTGAAATCTGTGTGTTAAATATGTCAAGCATATTCCATTATTTATAGTTGTGGATCTCACTCATATAGTCAAATATTTGGCATTTCACATGGTAGAAGTAAGATTAACTATAGATACTGGTTGGTATGCCATGGATTTCCTAATTCCTAATACCTAATACGTGCCCCCCCCCCCCCAAAAAAAAAAAAAAAAAAAAAAAAAAAACACACACACAGAAGTATCTTTGTTTTGACATATTATCTATATAATTGAAATAAAAATTTTATTAAAGATTTATTCTTGGTTATTTATTTATTTATTTATTATTATTATTTTTATCTCTCTAAATTTTGTTTCTCAAATTCCTTCAATCATAAAATAAAGAAAAACACAAATTGTGACCTCAATGAAAGAAAACACACACACACACACACACAAATTCCTTCACAAGTTGCTCATTTGTGACATGGAGGTCACAAGTACTTCTTTACATGCGAAGGTCGTAATGGTAAGGTGGCTTCATTGTGACATGGAGGTCACACAGTTATGTCTCTACATGTGCAGATAAGACTGCAAACACTCAACTCTCCCTCCTAGAGACTGCAATGGCGGAGTCTCATACACTAGGGTAACCTTTTTTTTTTTTTTTTTTTTTCCAGGTACGTCTCTACATTTGGAGGTAACACTGCATACTCATATAAGACCATCCCTCCTAGAGGCAGCAATGGCGGCAGTCTTATATGCTAGGCTAACCATTTTTTTTTTCCCATGGCAAGAAATTCATGCGCCCTTTTGTCCTCATGGGAACTTGAATCCTCACCATTCACTTTGAGAGGTAGAAGAAATACCGCGAAGTTACAATGCCCTTGGCCACTAGGCTAGCCCTTTTTTTAATATAGAAACTTTTTGTATTTTGAAACTCTTTCATAAAACAATTTAGTGTTCCTAAGTTATATTGAACGCTCCCTAAATATAAAAAACAAGTGTATCTTTGTTGAAACAACATTTATAAATTTGTTGAGATCAATTGTGGACATTTGATAGAATATTTAGAAGGATAGGACATTTATTGATTTTTTATATTTCTAGAGTGCAATTGTAATAAGACAGTGGTAATTTTTGTAATAATCTTAATACAGAGCATAAATTAATCAGTACTCTTTTATCCAAAACCTTTGGCAAATCTCATAATTTCTGTTAGAGAATCATTTGCTTATTGTGAAATGTGAGAATTGTACACATGGGCAACTGTGCAATGTATCAAATTCAAAAGAAGATATATAATGAGGTTATTCACTAACAAAAGTCACGAGATAAGAAGAGAAGAAGATTTATAATGAGGTCATCCACTTGACAAAAGTCACGTCCTCTCTTTTTTATGGTAGGATAATATTCTTTTGAGCCAAAAGTCACAAGCGCTCTTATTTTACCTTTCAACATTATGTTATACGTACATAATATAATAAAAGATTAAATTATCAAAATATATAAACTAATTAACATTATGGGCTCACACTGAAACTGGAAATTGAACATTAACCATCCATTGCTTTCTACGACTAAATATTCAGCGTGGCCGATGCTCGGTGCACCGAATATTTACTCGCTCTTAATCTCTTGTTCATCAGTTGAAGGATGATAAGCGGTAGGAATCACACACAGATCTGTTTTCCTGCTAACTGCTGCATCAAAGATCTCAGTCATGTCTAGATCTTCTGGCTTCTCTCCCTCCGGAAGTTTCCAGTCAAAGTGAAATAATAAATTTGCAAGTGGAAGCTCAACATTAGCTAAACCGAATGACATGCCAGGACATATTCTCCTCCCAGCACCAAATGGTAGATATTGAAAATGAGTCCCCTTGAAATCAATTGAACTGTCAAGGAATCTCTCTAGAACAAAGCTCTCTGGATCACTCCAATTTTCGGGATCTATATGAATTGCAAATACATTGACAAAGACATGGGTTTTTGCAGGTATCTCATATCCATTGATTTCACATCTCTCTCTGCTCTCTCTTGGAATTAATAAAAGGAGAGGAGGGTGTAATCTCAAAGGTTCTTTGATAACTAACTTTAAGTTACTCAATTCATGGAGTTCATCTTCATTAAGAATATTTCTCTTTTTACATAAAATCTGTCTCACCTCAGCTTGTGCCTTTTTCATCAGTCTTGGGTTTTTCAGCATTTTTGCAATTATCCAGCCTAGAGTATTAGATGATGTCTCGATTCTGTCAATGAACATGTCCTGAAAGAGCATTACATATTGAATTTTAGTGTGAAGTAATTTGTGGGACTCAGTGCATTGATATTAATAGAAGCATAAAGTAAATGTACTAACCAAGATGACTGACTTGACGGTTGTCATAGTTAAAGGGATCTCAAGATTACCCTCCTTTTGAAGTCTTAGAAGAACATCAACCAGGTCTTCATGATCAACTTCACCATCACTGGTCTGTGCTGCCACCTTCCTAGCTTTATGTTCATCAATGATATTGGTCAACGTCCTATCAATTTTCTGATGAGTCTTCTCAATTCTAGTCCCCAGTCCAGTGATTAAAGCCAGCATTTTAAATGAAGGATAGAGATCAGCAATATTGAGACCTCCTCCTAACTCTATGGTTTCCTTGACAAGTGATATGAATTCTTTTCGCCCATGGAATTTCTTACCAATGACAGCCTTTGCAGTGATGCTGTATGTCATCGAGAAAAACTTTTCAGTTAGATTGATGAGAGATCCTGTATGCGTCGAATTAGTTTTGATCAAATTCGAGATCTCTTCTTCCCTGATGGGTCGGAATGATTGGACACGCTTGACACTTAAAAGCTCCAGTATGCAAAATTTTCGAAGTTGTCTCCAGTGATCCCCATAAGGTGCGAAGCCAATGTCATTCTCGGATATGATACTTGTAGAAAGAATAAAAGGCCTGCTAGCAAAGATGATGTCATGTTTTTTCATCACTTGATGGGCAAATTCTACTGAAGAAACGACAAGAATAGGAAGTTATCCTAGTTGCAGGCTCATCAGTGGTCCATGTTTCATGGCCAAATCTCTTAGGCGGCGATGGGGTATAGATCCAACAAATTGGTGAATGTTTCCGATTAGAGGCAGCTTCCACGGCCCAGGAGGCAGTTTTGGAGCTGAACTGACCTCGTTTTCAATACCATGAACAGAAACAGCAGGAATGTGAACAGAATTGGGAAAGAGAGGAATGGGAGCTCCATCGTCATTCAGATTTATGCTTGCTGTGGAGCCTTGAAGTTCTGCAATAAGATATATATTAACCTTATTTATATTTTATTACCACCTTCAAATATCATTTTCCATCTGCTTCACTTGCTTCTACAATATAAGAGAGAAACTATTTTGACATAATACGTATTGATAAGGCAGAAGATGATTTATTAGCTTGACAAATCATATCGTTTGACTAACATAATATATACATCTTTGAATGTTATTTAAATTCGAATTGTCTCTTTGTTGTCAATTATAAATAAAGTCTTGGTACATCAAATAAAACATTCCAAAACAATCTAGAACATGACAAAATTGTGGTTAGCTAGCTAAAATATCATATTAATGCAATTGTCTAGTTTAGTTCCCTGATAAGTATCCCTTATAAAATACATAGTTGTGTAACTCTCGTCTTGATTTCATTAGTGTTGGTTATTATAAATTAGAATATATTTTATTTCTATGAAGGACTGACCATTCTATGAACAAAAAACAAATATATATATATATATATATATATATATATATATATATATATATATATATCATGACCAAGAAGCTAAACGATATGTACGTGCACAAAAGGCTATGAGGAGTTATATCACTGGCCTTTAAGAACCTCTCTTCCTTGAAGTTGCTTCCAAACTCATCCTAATTCTCATTTATAAAATACATGGACCTTTTGGATTTATCAGTAAAAAGAAAATCTTCCCATTGTTTTTGTAATAGAAATGATTTCGTAGTCTGTTACATGTATGAACTATGAACTAATTTTGTTTCCACGGAAAAATGCCCTAGCACGGAAATTCTTGCTAATCTCCTGAATTATTGATGGTTAGATTCAATCAACTACACAAGTAAATTATCCTCAAGTCATCTAATTTGTTAACTAAAGCACAGAGCAAAACTCTTAACAGCAAAAAGTGAGATTTTGAATGATTCACTCCAATACCAAAATCACATCTAAGATGTAAAATCCACCACCTGCATAAAAATAGTACTAGGGTTCCTTAATTGATTTGAAATTAAATTATGTGATGGAATTTAATGTATCACAATTCTGTGCAATTGCAATTTTACAAACTAAGTAGACCCTCAATTACTCCCAAATATAGTATTATATTAATTCAATAGAGAAAAAAAGGCAAAAATTCACTAATATTCCCCGTGTTTAACAAAATGCATGAACTTTTTTTGTTAAACATATTTGTAAAATGATGTTTACAAGAAAAAAATCTAGAATTATATACCAATCTCCATCGACAAGCTTTAAGAACACTAAGAATGATGATAAATTAAAAAATTGTGAAAATAAATTAAAAAATTGTGAAACTATTAACAACAATAATATTATATATGCTTATACTTTCAATTTTAGTTACATAATACAAATTTGCGAGCCCCAAAATTAAAATTCTTGGCTCTGCCCTAAGGTGACTTGTGTATATTTTAAGTCTTGATACTTAAAAGGTGACGTTTTCTTTTATGATTAATATACCAAGGTTTTAATGAGAAATTGAAAAACAAAACAAAATCAAATTATCTCTCTCCTAAACTAATTTCAAAGCACACCATTTAAGGCCTGTTTGGCATACACTTTATTTTAGGCGTTTTGTTTTTGACTAAAACAAAAATGGTGTTTTTGCTGTAGGAGTGTTTTGAAAAAAAAAAAATCAGAAACACGTTTGGGAACGATGTTTTGCTGTGGAAATGTTGGAAACAGAATAATGAACTATTGGTTTTGGGTCATAAACAGTTGTCAGAACAAAAAAAAAAAAAAAAAAAACAATTTTTTGGTGTTTTGGTTCTGGGTCACTGTTCACGAAGTGTTTTAGCACTATGTAAAAAAAAAAAAACAAGGTTACACCAAACATGCTTTTGTTGCCAAAATCGATACTATACCAGCCCAAAAACAAAAACAGCAAAAACAAAACGCATGCCAAACGGGGCCTTAGCAAATTCTAGAATATGGGTCAAGACCTTCCAGACAAAAACTGAATCACAACTTCATCCTAGACTGAAAGCAAAATGGTAAGGTGTTGGCCTGGACACCCATAAATCCAAGGTTCGAGCCTTGCCACCTCCATTATTACCTTCGACTGACTTAACTTGCTACTTACAATGTGGCCGGCATTGGCAGCCGGGGGTTTCTTAGTAGCTACACACCCGAAGGGCGTGCGAGGGTTCCCATGTCAAAAATAAAAAAATAAAAAAGGGCCCAAACTCAACGTCAATTTTGTCAGTTGTACTAGAGAGTTAGAAAAGAAAAAAAAAAAAAAAAAAGGAAGTACAAAGAATAAGTGGAGCTTGGACTTACAAATTGCAAAAGTATAAGTTAAAAAGTTCATACATACGATTTGTATTCGATTAATTTGGCTTGAGGTTGGACTATCCTGTTTATTCGGGGCAAGGTCCAAACACCTCCAGGTCAGACGGTTGGCGTGACACCGGACTATAGTTTGGTCTAATTATGATACTAACTATAACATGTGGATGCTTTGCGATTTGATCAAAAAATTAAACTGTTAGGTGAGACTACACCGAACCCATATATATTCATTTACTTTTTCATTCGAATCCGATATGAAACACTTGTAACACCTAACCTCTAGCTAGGTTTGAACTCTCAACCGAGCTAGTGATAAATTTGTTTAGCTAAGAGTATGTGAACTTTATTGTATATTACTTTCTTTTCGATAATTAATATATATATATATAGGGGCGAAGCCAGGATTGTATGATTGGGGGGGAGAGGGGGGGGGGGGGGGGGCGAACTTATAATTAATATAAGACTATTTTAAGCCAAATATATATATTATTGATTATAGTCATACAAAAATTTATCAAATCAACCGTTAGCCAATTTGTGTTTAAAAAAAATAAAAAATAAAAAAGAAGCCTATATCTAGTAAAAAATGACATAAATATATACAAAAATTAACCAAAAAGACCAAATAATTATCTTTGAGACAATAAATTTCATGTATTATCGATTGGTGGCTTGACCATCGTATAACCAATTAACCTGAAAGTAATCAATCAATTAGTTATTTAAAGAAGCTTTTTTTATTTTATCAAACTTCCGTAATAAATGCAAAAAACAGACAGTAAGACAATTGCCAATTTTTTTTAAAATTTCAACCCTAAAGTAAAGTGAATATATTATCTATTATTGCAATTGGGCTTAGTTTAATATAATATTGAAAGGTTTAAGAAAAAAAAAGAGTAACCATTTATGGTTAGAAAGAAGAGAGAGAGGGACTCACAGTGTTGGGAGTACAGTTCTACACTTAAAAAGAATTGCATGCAGGTACGGGGAGAAAAAGAGAGAGAGGGACTCACAGTGTTGGGAGTATAGTTCTAATGAGTTGGAGCTCTAGTTACCATGCCTCTTCAGTGTTGAATGGAGGAACAGTGAAAAATGAAACAAAAGTGTGAATGGAGAGAGAACTTTGCCCTATATTTATAAAGAGAGTATATATAGAGAACATACAAATTATGTTTTTATTTTTGGATGACAATAAATACAAAGTTTCTTAAAATATAATTTTATAAGTAATCAAAGTCCCTATTAGTCCAGTCCAATGTGTGACTCCTTAAAAAGTCAGATGGAAATGTCAACAAAAGACAACCACGGCTCACAGCCGTCATCCATAGAACCCATATATGCATCAATTCTAGATATATATAGTACGTTGTATTGTTGAAGATAATATCATTGGCCAAGAAAATTTGAAGAGACTTATTACCTCCCCATTTCAAATGAGAAAAAAATAAATGTATTGACTTGTAGAAAAATCATAGGTGCCAAATTTTACTTGCTCAAACTAAAAAATTGAAGCAAAATATATATATATATTTTTTTCTATAAATACGTTTTCAAGTTTTTTTTTTTTTATAACTTGATTAGGTATATATTCAAATTTGAGAGCATATTTTGATAAATTTAAAAGGGGACAATGCATTAATTACATGTCCTCTTAAAAAGTAATGCTCCCAAATGAAACAACTAATATGTAGGGGTGGATAAACAATACGTGAATTCACAAATTTGATCCAATCCGTGCGAATCAGATCAGATTGCTACACCCACAAATCGATAGCGGATTCAAAGAAATTGAATCCGTAGTTCACGGATCGGCTGATGAATTGAGCTGATAAAATCCAATCCGATTCAATCCGCGAGATATATATATATATATATATATATATATATATATATATATATATATATGTTGATATACGTGCTACGACATCTGCTTAAGTGGCATCATCTCTAAAAATAAGTACACCTGGGCAGTACTTATTTGACGTGCTCCTGAAAGGACTAAGTATCCTTGAGCTACTCGTCCTATAACTGAACTCATTGGCCGAGGAAGGGGTTGCTACCCTTCCTCTCCTATGGACGCGCTCCGCTCCAATCGGATGGCCCCTCCTCCCTTCCTTTTCAAGGTTACTTCCTGCAGGTATAACCTCGGGCGCGCATTTTTCTCTTCTTGAGCTCCCTTTTAAATGCAGGGACCTCGAGGCGCAAATCCAGATAGAGCCCGCAGGGCCGAGAAGGTGGAACCCCGAAGGAGGCTCTTTCCCTATCTTCAGTTGCGGGAATCTGAGTATCAGTGGTTAGGTGACTGAGTTTCAAGGATTTGCCTCACCTCGAGGTCTACACAAGGGGGAGAGAATGTTTAATACCCAGTAACTGAGCTCGAGTAATAGAGACC